TATTGTTGTGTTGAATGTTATTTTATGTGTTAGTTAAAATTTTATGTATGAATGTTCAATTTTGGAAATTAATGTTTTGAGTACGTTTTGAATAGCCCCTGTATATGTGTGTCAATAAAGTATGTTATGTGTAGTGTAGTATATATGTTAAAGACGTAAATACAATTCACAAGTCTTATATTTACCTGCTAATGCTTAAATGGCCTCTATTTTACACTTTATTTTATTTTTTTTATGTGAGCAACTCCCTCGAGCAGGAGGCGGGTTGAATATTCTATTCAAACAGGAATCTACTTATTTTTTTTATCATAAATTTAGTTTATCTCACTATACAGATTTTCCTCAAATATCACACATGGCATAATAAATAAATCATATAACTTTAACAAGTGTCAGCTATATTTACTACAACGAATGTTCAGATATACAGTTATACAAATTTTCTTAATCTAGACTTATACTAAAATTAGAATTTGAGATCTCTTTATTTATATTACTTTTTAATTTTGATTGGTTAAATGAAACTTTTGTTTTTGAATTTGTTAAAATTTGTTTTAAATATCTTCATCTTTCATTGATCAACGTTTTTTAAAGATGTGGCCAATAAATTACACCTCTTAACTGCAGTTAAATAAAATGGTCTACCTTGTATTTTGAAATTTCAAAGTTCTCAGACGATCTTGAAGTTGGCAGGCCTGCTGAACTGGAACTAAACTTTCTCGTTGTTTTCTGCCATTAACTCGTTCTGAGACAGTTAGAATCTCCTCCGTTCCATTTATTCCAATCAGGCACTGGTCACTAATTTTGAATTCGCACTTTACTCCTTTTTCGAAAATTCACTGTAGTCGAAGCACTTGATTGGTCACAAATCCTAACAGTTCGTTGTTGTACAAGTTTAATTTTCTTATGTTTGATCCCTGTTCGGACTAATTCGTTTTCCCACAACTTTTGACGAAATTATAACCTCACATTAGTTTGACATTTGAGATTTGAAAAGGTACAAATTTTAAAATAATTGAGTTGCCTTGATTTTACTTGTGATTTTCACTTGTTTTCTTTCAGATTACCACAGATGTTTATCGTTCAAAGATCATGAGCAAACTGGCTGTTTTCGTCCAAAACACTTTTAATAAACCCGAAAACAAAAGAAGTTTGTTGTGGTTACAACGTCACCTGTCATATGATATAACTTATTTTATGAAATTTTGGGCATACGGATTTCTAAAACTGAAAATTATGCTTATTTTCGATTATAGGATACAATTCTCGTTATTTTGATACCCCATTTTCCATTGTAGGTTATAATTTTACATCTATTCTGAACCTATGCTAAATTATGAAAATACAGTAACATTTCTTACTTAAAACTGTTTTTACCTATCTAAATCTATTTTATGACCTCTTTATTAAAGTTCTTACATACTTTCCACTTGGGTTTGCATTTATTTAAATGTTTATGGCTTATTTTTGTTCTAGGTGTCGAAATGACATCGTTTTTCACAAATTTTTCACTTATGGAAAAGTCTATAACATAAAATAAATACTGCTTTTTAGTCCTTGGAAGATGCACTAGCCAATGTCTACAGCAGATTGACACTCACCTTTATATTAAAAACAAGATTTACAAAATTTGTCGTTTGACATATGATACAATTTTTTTTCTTGTACAATGCAACTATATATTGGATCAAATCCAGTTCTAAGGATGTGAACTTGCTAAAGGTATAACACTTTAACTTTCTATAACGTTATTTGCATGTTTATTGAAAATTTAGTAAAATTTCTTCGATAGCCGTTACTGTACAAAGCTACCGTTTCAAAATTTGATGAAAATCTTTAAGTGAGGTACAGATAATGTTTTGTACTGCGGTGGTTTGTTGGTGATAAACATGTACTACATTTCTGTGCTGTTTTTCTCAAGAAATTATCGTTGGAAAATTGTTTTATTTTGAATTTCATGTGAATTTTGATATTTCCGGAGTCATTTTCCATTATATAATTTGCATTGCACAAATTTGTGATTTTCTTTTAAAGTAGATGTCAAATAGAACTATTTGACTTAATTTTACTACACCATGTGATTCTTTCTAAGAAAATCTATCAATTTAATAAATATTTTCAGTTTAATTGTTCATACTTGGAATTAAATATTTTAAAACCGCTATTATGCTTTAAGATTTGCTTTTATTATATGTTTTTTATGATTGAGCAGTATGTCATACCATGACATATTCCCCCCTAAATTATAATAAAGTTATTCTGAAATAATGACTTTATTTAATTTATGTACAATAGTTTCCTTATCACTTCAGGATTTATTTCCCTCTGCTTTGTAAAATAATATATATTTTTTTTAGTCTAATTTCATTTTCACTTTATGTTTGTTCAAATCATGTCCCTGCATTGTACTAATTTGTGATATAACTCTAGTTTGATGTTTATTAGGTGTATAAGAGTAAATTAACTCAGTGTGAATAAAATTTTCTGGACAGTTTAGTTTTGTGTTTTCATTATTTGTAAGAACATTTATCTTATATGCTTTGATGACTAGATTGTTTTGTTTTTCAATTGGTGTATTTAGTACTTCATCATTTTTCGTGCACGTAGCATTTAATAATTCTTTATTATTTAAACAATCGTCAAGTATTATATTTATTTTTTCATCATTCATTTGAAAAACTTTGCTCTCTAGATCAAACTTGGCTCCATATTTCAACAATATGTTCTCACCTAAAATTATATCAAACTCTATATTAGGTACAACCAAAAATTCTGCTTGTATGGGTTTCTTGAGAAGTTTAAACATTATATTTACCACTTTGTTGCTTTCAGCTAATTTTTTTCCAGATGCATTTATCAGTTTGATTTTGTTTACTTTTATAATATTGTTTTTTAAGTGATTTAATTGTTTATGTAATAAATTTTCATTAATTAAACTTTTTTCTACACCTGTGTCAAGCAAAGCTTTAAAATTTTTATTTTCAATTTTAATGTTTATAAATATCAAATTAGTTTTTTCATTATTCATAGCCTGATCACAGCCTTCGTCGACGTTAATGAATTCCCTCATGTGCTGATAGCTAGTGTTTAAACTTCTCGTAATTAAAAATTTGTGACATCAGCAGAGTGGATTTGTGCAACCGTTTGAACTGTATTTACCTCTTGTGTAGTTGTGTTTTGTGGTTGTATACCTTGAGTTTTTATCGTGTTATTGTATGATGTAGATTGTGGTATTTGTGTATTTTGACTTGGGTTTTCAGGCTTTCGATTAAATTTGTTGAACCTATTGCCATAAGTATTGTTGCCACGGTTGTTTTGGTTCCTGTTCTCTTGTCTGTTATCGTTGCTTCTTTCCTGATTGTTTCTATATTCATTTTGCCTTCTTTCTTGACCATTTCCATTTGGAATTCGATTGTCTTGTCGATTCTCATTTTTCTTCCATCCAGTCTGGTAATCATCGATACTTCTTATGTAATCGATCAAACCATCAATCGTTGAGATGCGCTGTGTTACAATCACCTTATGAATATCTTCTTCAAAATGTCTAGCCAACATTTTTACCATTTCGTTTTCAGTAAACTTTGGTTCCAGATGTTTTATGTTGTAGATTTTTTTCATGAGATATCTTTCCCTGGAACTGCCAAATTTCTCGTTATATTTTCCGTTGATGAGGTTTATCCTTACCTTCTGTTGATGATATTCCCCCCAGTATTTTGATATAAATAGTTGTTCAAACTCGTCAAAGGTATCGTATTTGTCTTCGATGAGCTGATACCATATATCAGCATCACCTTTCATTGTCGAACTGATGATATTTTTAATATTCATTGATGATGGTAAGGTTTCTATATATATTTTGAGTTTCTTGATAAACACTGCCGGGTGTATCCGGGTGTCTCCAAAGAATACCAAGTCTTGACTTATGTTTATTGTCGGTTCGATTCTTGACACACATCCCATGTTTCNCAATATGTCCTCACCTAAAATTATATCAAACTCTATATTAGGTACAATAAAATATTCTGCTTGTATGGGTTTCTTGAGAAGTTTAAACATTATATTTACCACTTTGTTGCTTTCTGCCAATTTTTTTCCAGATGCATTTATCAGTTTGATATTTTGTTTACTTTTATAATATTGTTTTTTAAGTGATTTAATTGTTTATGTAAAAAATTTTCATTAATTAAACTTTTTTCTGCACCTGTGTCAAGCAAAGCTTTAAAATTTTTATTTTCAATTTTAATGTTTATAAATATTAAATTAGTTTTTTCATTATTCATAGCCTGATCACAGCCTTCGTCGACGTTAATGAATTCCCTCATGTGCTGATAGCTAGTGTTTAAACTTCTCGTAATTAAAAATTTGTGTCATCAGCAGAGTGGATTTGTGCAACCGTTTGAACTGTATTTACCTCTTGTGTAGTTGTGTTTTGTGGTTGTATAGCTTGAGTTTTTATCGTGTTATTGTATGATGTAGATTGTGGTATTTGTGTATTTTGACTTGGGTTTTCAGGCTTTCGATTAAATTTGTTGAACCTATTGCTATAAGTATTGTTGCCACGGTTGTTTTGGTTCCTGTTCTCTTGTCTGTTATCGTTGCTTCTTTCCTGATTGTTTCTATATTCATTTTGCCTTCTTTCTTGACCATTTCCATTTGGAATTCGATTGTCTTGTCGATTCTCATTTTTCTTCCATCCAGTTTGGTAATCATCGATACTTCTTATGTAATCGATCAAACCATCAATCGTTGAGATGCGCTGTGTTACAATCACCTTATGAATGTCTTCTTCAAAATGTCTAGCCAACATTTTTACCATTTCGTTTTCAGTAAACTTTGGTTCCAGATGTTTTATGTTGTAGATTTTTTTCATGAGATATCTTTCCCTGGAACTGCCAAATTTCTCGTTATATTTTCCGTTGATGAGGTTTATCCTTACCTTCTGTTGATGATATTCCCCCCAGTATTTTGATATAAATAGTTGTTCAAACTCGTCAAAGGTATCGTATTTGTCTTCGATGAGCTGATACCATATATCAGCATCACCTTTCATTGTCGAACTGATGATATTTTTAATATTCATTGATGATGGTAAGGTTTCTATATATTTTTTGAGTTTCTTGATAAACACTGCCGGGTGTATCCGGGTGTCTCCAAAGAATACCAAGTCTTGACTTATGTTTATTGTCGGTTCGATTCTTGACACACATCCCATGTTTCTTTCCTTAAAACTTTTCTTCAAACTTTCTCTCTTGTTCTTTTAATTGGTTGTATAATATTTGTTCTTTTTATTGTTGCCTTAGCCAGTTGGTGGTGGCTTGAGTCTTCTCTTGGTGTAGAGCTTGTTCCATTTTTTTTGTTTCTTCTTCGACTTTCTGGAACTTGGTATTTGTGGTAATCCGAACCTCTTCAAAGTTCTTATATGGAGATGTTCTTATATGGAGATTTTAAGATTGTCGTTGACAAGGACACAGGCTATTTTAATGCTACAAAGCTATGCCAGGATGGCGGAAAAGAGTTTAAATATTGGTTACGTAATAAAAGATCAAAAGAACTTAGGCGATATTATACATCGGAAAGTGATGGGGACAATTATCCCTTGCAAACAGTAAAAGGCAATAATCCCGTATACAATACGATTATTTCTGGAACGTATGTGAGAGAAGAGTTACTTTTGGATATTGCTTGCTGGATTTCCAAGAGTTTTTATGTTAGATGCTACAGAATAGTAAAGGAATATTTCGTTAACGAATTCAAGACCAACTACCAACACGATAATGAAGCTCTAATGTCCAAGTTGCACGAATTAAAAACCCGGAATGAAAAGTTGGAAAATTACGTAGAAGATATAAGTCCAAAGGTCGTTAACCCGAACAAACGACACATGTTTGCTATAATACAGAAAAATCAACCACATGAGTACCCATACTCTATCATTAGAACTCAGAGAAGACGTTTCCCGCAATCCTTAAAGAAGTTGCAGAGGAAGCACCCGAAAGCGCGCGTCGTGGCAGATTTAGAGTATAACCCCAACAGTATCAGCCTTTTTAACCGTATCAAGGACGAAATACCGTATATTACATGTAAATACAATGATTTTAAACTAGTAAATACACCCATTGAAATGTTTGTAAACGACGTTAATAAAATGCTAAAAATAGATTAAAATACGCGTGCGCTTACCCTCCTACATAATAAGAATAACTTGAGCAAGCGTCTCATTCTTGTCTTGTTCTTGGTAGTGACAAATCGTAAAAATGACAACAGCGTTCTACTTTAAAGCAAAAGCCTGAGAGAGATAAGAAAGCTAAATATTCGCGACGATGTATTAATTAATCAATGGTACTTGGATAAACAGCCTTCGTGTTATATACGTTATGAAGACGAAAAACCTGTATCGTTTGCCTTGCTGTCTAAAATGAACTTTGACCCCTTCAGCAAGCATTCAAATCCAAAGACGTTCAACTACATTTATACGCTGGAGGCGCATCGTAGAAAAGGACATGCCGCAGCCATTGTAGATCATGTGAAAGAACGTGAACAGTTTACGGCGTTTTGCAGTAATGAAGCCTCAGAGAATTTATTTAAAAAATGCAAATGTAAAAATTACGGTGAAATGTATTGTAATGTTATGTACAGATATCCTTAATAAAATCTAATTATGCTCCTCTATTTTTTTTATTTCCACCTTTTGCAATATTAACTTGAAAGACGTGATTGATTTAATTTGATTGAGAAATGTTTTTCAACTCTCTCTCTCTCTCTACTATTAGTATCTCAGACACACACCCACACAATTACGAGGAAAATTAAAAGCAGAGATAAATTTAATTGTTTATTTAAATTAGAATACAAGTTAGTAAATATATACAGAATGTTACACACATAAGTCACATAGAAAAACAGGTTAAAGCTTAGATCTTTTCCATCCGTAGGGCACCGAGCTGTGGTCGTCCAGGAACCGTCTCTTTACGGAGAGAGGTTTATATAGCTTGGTTTGCTGTACGGTTATCACCTCGTGTTCCTTGGTCCTCAAGATGTTTCTTGAGGCTACGCATACCGGGCTGGAGGTGGAAGTGTCCAACACCATAGCCCTTATGGCATCGAAATTTATCAGCTGTGATGCGGTGTAGTTAAGGGATATACCCTTAACTTTACACACCACCTTCTCTTCATTATCCCTGGTAGAGAAAACCTTATATGCGTAGTTCTTGGGCCCTCCGCTTACAAATTCTGTGATATAGCTCCCGTGTCCGTATCCTTCCAGTTCGTCCGTCATGTCGCCGAGGAATTCACCCGTTGGTACGTCGTATTTTCCATCTTTGGCCATGTAAATGACAGTCCGTATCGTAATACAATACCCTGTCGCCCAGCTGCTCCAGGTAACTGTACAGCTTAAGACGGGCTTGAGTGGTAACATAAGCAGCAATGACGACATTTACGGTGGTGAGTGGATCGTAGGCCTCCTCCTTGTGCTCCCAATTGACGACGAGAGTGTCTTCATTGATAGGGAGCGCCGAGTTAACGTAGATGCCGGGGTTGGTGAGCATACCGAAGAATTCTGAGGGGTTTCTTACGATGGATGTTTTGGGCTGGTTCTTCCTCTGTCCCAGTTTTCCCCAAAAGCTGTTCAAGATGAGTTTTGCGAGAGACCGTAGCCCTGGGTTCTCCAAGATCTCCGCAAACTCGAGCTTAACATCTTCCCTCTCGAGAAATTGCTCGATGTAACGCTCCTTCTCCTCGTCTATGGTACAATGGGCGGGCCAATCGGACGCCTGCTGTTTTACCTTGACGAACTTGTTCATCATACTGGTGAAGAGATCTCCAGTCTTTGCAGGCTTATCGTATTGATCTATTTGATAAGACCATATCTCGCGGATCTCCAACAGACGATACCCTTTTTCAACGGCCTTTCGAACTTCGTCGACAATCCATGTCCCTGTCAGAGCTCGTTCTTCGTCGCTATGCTGGCACTCGCCTTTATTCATTTGTTCGCCGCAGGTGCGACAGAGAACAAACAGCAGCTTATTGTTCATCTTGGTAGGGAGCACAGGGTGGTACAGATTCTGGGGCGGGAATATCTTACATTTAATTACACCGTCAACAATGCTCAGATCTGTAGGGTTCCTCACCCACATAAACTTTTGGATGTCCTATGGGGAACTTGCCGTACTTGCAGACACAAGGGTAGAGGGAGCAGACATCGACGTATTTGATTTTCTCCCCTGGACCGCACTTGTAGTATTCGACTGTGTTCCCAGTACGGCCTCCGTAGAAAGCATCTCTAGGGTTTAGCGGTGTTAGGGTTACGAGTGGGTGGTTTTCGGTATAGTTGCGGATTTCGTAGTCGTTCTTCTGAAGGTTACGCCTAAACTCACATTCCCACATCTCAACGACCTCGTAACCAATGCCTCGAAGTCTTGATGTTTTTGCTATGGTGGTTTCGTGGCGAGTGTTTAATGTCTGAGAAGGATCTTCAGGCATGGGGACGTCTCGACTGTGCTTGTAACACACGGAGCAGCCGTGATAGTAGCAGCCGTGGAACTCAAACACCTGATTGCTCTCTGCGGCATACCCATCGACTTTTACACCAGCGAGTCGAGATTCTTGCTGTTTAGCGGCGTATTGGATATTTATTTGTCGCTGGTGTTCCTCCCACACAAGCCATTGGATAGCTATCTTGCTTTGATTGTCACGCCATCTGTAGCCGCCTTTGGGGATGATGCCGATGGTGTTTGGCTTGAGGAAATTGCGCCTGTACACCTTATTGCACGCAGAGGCTATGGTGCAGGCTTCCGTGTACGGGCAGACGTTTCCCGTTTCCATCAGCTGCTGTCGGAACTTGAGACATGCTGCCGTTAGGATCTCCACGTCTGATATACAATATTCGACGAGATCCCGCTGCATGTTAAACTCGTCGTTTTTATGTTCCTCGTGCCACTCAAGAAACTTGGAGCGATCTTCCGGTTTCATATTATCGGGGTCATAGTATTCGGCGGCTGGTAGGGGACCCACGTAATTTGCGTTGGCTGCAGTGTTGAAAAGATGGGGGAAATAGCCTTTCTTGAAATTATCACCCAAGCCGAAAGCCTTGGGCAACTTGGACAGCGCCATGGGGAAATAATTTAGACTGTCCAGGAACTTTACGTTCTCCACGACCATGGAAATTATTTTCGTCCCTCGCATGATGAGTTCGGGGGTCAGGTCCGTCTGCGTCAGGATGTAGTTGAGGCAGAACTGGTGGTCGAAGGCTTGCCCGTTGTGAGCCATAACCACCACCTGCTTGAATTTTTTCCTCATGGTGGTAGAGGAATGGTGAAATGGGGTAGTTGCACCTTAAAATCTGCAGTCTAACACCGCATTTACTACAAATTTTCTGTGGCGTGTTGTGGCATGTGTCGCAGCATTGCTTAAAAACGCAGAGATTTGGTTCATGCAGGAGGGAACCATCTTCTTGCGCCTTCTCTTGCCGGGTCTCCAAATCGTAGAATACAAAGAGAAGGCCGTCGGTTTTAGGCTTCCCTGTGTTGGGTTGCATGTAACACAGATGATCAGCCGGCACATGGACGTTGCATATCTTGCAAAAAATTTCGCCGCAAATATGGGTTCTGCCTTTTTTTACCACCTTGAGACAGTCGGGGCAACGGCGAATCTGCTCGCAAACCGAGCTCTTTCCCATTGATCCCTGGCTCCTATGATTGTCGTAGCATTGTCGGCCTCTGAAACTACGCTGACACTCGGAACAGGTAACGGCAATGTCTTCGGGACATACTGGGGACTGTTGGCATGCCGGGCAGGTGCCGCCACACCTATGATCTTTTTTAGTATTATATGGGACCTGGCACCTCTCGCAATAATAATCACAGCAGAAGGCAGCCGTCAGCGAGGTGATAACATTATAGTGCCCCTTGTGATAGATTAAATTTAACGAGGGACCCTCTGTGGAGCCCTTAAATATCATGTCACGCCCCTTGCTACCGTACTGGTACACGACGATGCGGTAGTCGGAGAGATACCGCTGGAACTCCAGCAGCTCAGGGATACCTGCGCCCTCATCAGGTATGACAACCCCTGCCACCCGCATTAGATCTTGAGCTCGCAGAGTCTGCAGCTTTCCGATATCTCTACGAACTTTTCTATACTCAGTGTCCTTGTCCACGTTGGCTTTTGCTACGACGAGGCCGCGCGGCAAACACAAATTGTCTTTATTGTTTA